GGTCAAAGTAATTTATCTGGTGTTGTTCAGTCTTTGTATGAATAGTAATTCCAACCAGATATATCTCTACTATGCCCAACTTATCTTTATAAAAATCGTAATCAGTTTGAAGTGTTAAAGTTCATATTGGAACGCATGTTAATTTTAATTGCAATTTGAATTGCTCGAAATAAATTCGTGATAAGCATAGGTACTGTCTATTTTTCGCGAGCAATCGTTTAATGCAACAGCTGGACAATCAATAGCACATTCAGCTGTATATTTCGGCCTTTGATCTGTTTCTATCATAAATTGCATACACTTGAATTGATAATCGCACCCCTCTTAGAAAAATCGCATAAGTGGAGTTACGTCAAAAATGTTTATTGCTCCATTAAAATCCAAAAATATAACCCACATCCTCTCTGTGTATGTGCGGATGTGGGTTGTATTTTTCTGTATTTCATGGAGCAATAAACATTTTTGACGTAACTCCAGTTATGCCATTCTTCCATGAGGGGTGTGTTATGTTAAGTGTGACGTTCATGCAAATTACGATATACGACTACGTATATACATAAAAAAAATTGAGCGACACACTTGTAACGTAAACAATACTGTATTAGCCCATGTCATGTTCTACTTTTGTTTACGGGTGCCGATGCAGAATTATCTGTCTTCAAAAAGTATTCCCTTACATGAAAACCAAAAAACACAAACTAGAATGTGTTTTGTGATTGTCTTTAAAGCAAACATTTTATTCGATACTATAAATAACAATACGGAATTTCCTATGTTCATTGTCCTAAGCAGCTTAAGCATAAGAATCGATATAATATCTGAATTGGATTCTTATATTGGAGGTACCTTTCATGGTCGTAAATAACTTTCACTAGTTACAGGTCTTTTATACCATGGTATGATTTTATACCTTACTAAGGTATAAATTTAAAAAAATCCGATACTTTGGAGCCATTTTGGAACGTTACACGCTCTATTGTCACGTGTTGACAACCACCTCGTAACCTTAATATAATAAATACGAACTATATAAAACAGATTAGGTGTACCATGGTGGTCAAATCTGAAAAAGTCGGAAGATATCGCACACAAAAACATTAGATTTACTGATAAATCAGTAAACTTGGCAACACTAACTATTAGACTAATTTTCTTTGTAGAATCTTTCTTTAAGCCTCTGACATTAAAAACTTATCATTATCATTCTGCAATGATGTGACCTTGTTCATTAGGGGTGTGAATTCATAGTTGTAGTTTCTATTTACTTTATACAGTGCTTTATTTTAATGAGACTGTATAGGAAAATCCGAAACCATAGAAGATACAAGGAAACTGTCTTAGGAACCATTAAGTCTTTTTATTTGTGAAAACAATTTCGGTATAGTCAATTTTTGGTCAACCAGAGTTGTCCATAATTTTTTTTCCATCCTCTAAGATGAACATGAATATAATTGATTGAGGCATGACATAAAAAGATTTTATTATTTATTAAAAGCGATTATTTCTAAAGAGTTTCAATGTTAAAGTGTAAATTAAGCTTGTTAATCGCTGTACCTTTCTGTCGACCCTCGTTAGATATGGTGATCTAGAGCAGTTCATGTCTTTGCCTTTCCGCCCTTGGCCTGATCTTGATCGCGGTGCGACCTACGCTGCGCCGACGCATGTTTCTGTCACGCTCCAAGTCATGACTTATCGATACTTGTAATCGTTACATTTGTACTAGGGAAATTTCTATGTATGTTTGTGTTTAAACGGACAATTGGACTGTAAACTACACAGCAACGTTACGACTATGCGTTCTAAAATTAAGCCTTTGCCAGAATCCATTTGTTGTGCCATAGTGACGAGACGAACAAGTCATGCTGGTGAAATTACAGGCACACGATCAGGCGATCGTGTGCCTGTAATTTCACGAGCAACCTCATCTTTCAAAACCGGACCGAAGTAATGCCTACATTACTGCTTGGCAGCAAAATAGGTAAGGTGGCAATACTTCCCTGGATGAACTTCACAACGAGCTCTACTGCAATTATAACTGGTATAGAAAAATATAGTACATTGTTTTACCAGGGCGGAAGGTAGGTTATTGCTAACAAGTTGACACTGTAAGCGCGAGCCGTAGACTCAAAGGTTTTAAAAAACGTATCTGAGAAACTTAAAAAGACTTTTGAAACAATACATTTGCTCGTAGATTGTCACAGAAAGACATTATTCAACTGAGCATTTATTAAAACGTTGACCGGAATTAAATACATAATATCCGATAATTCCTTTTAGTGCTATTCTCATATTTATGTATTACGCAATGGAACATATATAAAATCATATTGGAATAAGTTTTTAAATGAAAATGTCGGGTTTTGGAATAGCAAGTGTATGTTTATTAATCATAATTGAAACAAAATGAAAAGGTATACACTGGAACACGTTAAGCCTTAAGCTGTTTTTGTAGTAAACTTAAATCTAGCGTAAAAATGAAAATAATTAAATAATAATTGAATCCGTTTATGTATAGGTATTTATAGTTTTTTGTGTATACAAAATGAAATTTCTATCTGAAAAGCAAGAAATTACATAACAACAAGTTTTAAATTGGGTTGAAAAAAATACTTGTCCGCAAAAGTAAACTATTTTCCCCACGTTTCGACGATATAGAAAGTAGAACGATTTAATCAGTAACTGTAACAAAAAATGCTTTATTTCTCCATATGTATAAAGTTGTACAACCATCATAAGTAATACAATTTTTCAATGAAAATTATCTATTTTTCAACAGACGTTTTTTGAATGTTGAAACAAGTCATGCTTGTTGTATGTGTTGGTGCGTTGTGTTTAAGCATTGTTTGTTGCGTTGTTATAACTAAACTTGTTGCATTTTTGATCTTTGAACATATTTTAATTATGTCCGAATAATGAATGTTTCTCTTAATGAATGTGTTAAGTTGACGATATTCAAGATAATGAAAGATGATATTAACGTAACCATATCTTCCGTCCTTCAGTCGTCTTTAAGAGTTCGAGAGAACTCCACGGCAATTGCATAATGTTTAATTTTATTTAGATAATACTTTCAACTTCCTAGAGTTTTTTTAAATTCTGAGTAAAAGCTAAATAAGTACTCAAAAAGAAATAAAACCACAACACGTAACTTCGCAAAATAATTGGACAACTGTGATATTTGATCTCTTTTCAAAATTATTTAAACATGGAATTTTTGTCACGCAAAGTGAAGTCAAATAATCAATTTGACGTCCGTCAAATTAATGGGAAGGACGGAAAAGATTTTGAATCTAGGTAAGTTCACTTTGCTTTGGATAATTATATTTTTTTTTAAATTTCGGTGTTATTTTAAACATGTACATAAAACAGGAAAATAAGATTATAAATTCAAAATTAGTGCAGCTTACAACAGTGAATGGAAAAATTTCACGTCTAGGTATTTTTTTAACTGATAAATATACAAGGTAACTTTTAATTGAGCATCGACCGCAAAGGGGTGAGCGGGGGAGGATTCCAATAATAACAAATTGTTACATCGCTTTAAACAAAGAAAACTATATGCTACTAAACCTTCTTGATAGTTAATTAAAAGTTGTACTGTAAACTGATTTATATTTTAATTTTTTTAAGTTATTTAATTTTTAATTTTCTTTTAAATTTATTTTATAGTGGTAAGGAAAACAATAAAAGCCCCCTTTCTTAAAGCTGTCGGCTGCCTACGGTAAATCAGTTTGTTTATGAAATTGTAGTGATACAAGTGTCGATGTTATTCGAACTTATGTACCTATTTAGTTTATATTGCACTACCTATTATAGGCAAGTAACAGATAAACCTCATCTGTGGAGCACTCCATACGCCATGAGACGTAGATATTTTTTGTTTTTTTTTTTTACCTAAAATTTTAGGTAACTGAGTTTGTTAGCAACAGAAAAAGTTGCGTATGCTTTGTTCACAGATGGCACACTAATTGATGCCTATTATGAATAAAAACGTGTCGTCGTGTGCCTGCCAAAGATTGGGCAAGGGTCTCACTGGGGCGAACAGACCAATTTTTGGGTAGGCCGTAGCTTCGTAGCACTTGCGTAGATAGAGTGGATTCCGTAGAACTTTCACGCATAGTGGTAACGTAAGACGTATGTTTTTTCTTGTATATTGTATTGCACCAATTAAATCTAGCATTGTAGATGTGTGTGAAATTATGTGTAGCTGTGAAATACAAATCTGTTAAAATAGACCTGAACATCATTGCTCTTTGCATACATTCCTTTGGTATACTTGTCTATGTCATGGGAACGTTAGATGTTTAATGATATCTGTAGATATTCACGTTAGTAAGTTTTGATCACGTAAGTAAGTTTCTTATATCTACGATGAAACGATAAAGTTCAAACCTATTAAACGTATTCCTCCGGCTCATCTATCTGAATACGAAAGGTTCTGACAGGTGCAAACATTGTGATATTATGCTGGAGGAAATACGAATAAAAAGGGTTAAAGTTCTGTGGTTGTAGATATGATGATATGAGGTTAGCGATAAAAACACGTATTGATATGACAATGAGGTTTTCAGGTCAATGACCGCCATTATCTTTTATGTGGTTTTATTGAAGTAGGCCGTGGGAATTGGTGGCTGTTCAATCGATTATACAGCTATAAAGCTGTTGTGATTGGAATACCTATCCATTATTTTACCATATGTTAGAACTATTGAAAATACAGAAGAAAAATGTCTTATTGTTTTTATCTTACCTCTAAATGTAAAATTTTAACAATTATCAACCGTCACTACCATTACGTGATTCAACTCGGCGTGCTCTAGTTGCTTGGGGGTAAGTTGTGTAGGTTTCCAGGTTGCAAAATCCCACAGGTATGTTGTATAGTTGCTTAGTTCAGTAGCGAGCCAACGCCATCTGCTATCGGGCGGCGGTAGCGCTAGCAGCCACAGACGGCGTGTGGGTTCATATCTACGTTGTAGCTGAAACATTTTCCGCTTTCCCAGGAGCGATACCATTATGAGTTCGGCGCCCCCCGCGCTGCGCGACAAAAACAACGCCGCGGTGGCTTCTGACAAGCAGTCGCACTGCAACGCCGCGCAGAGGTGTACGTACGATACAATGGAGCGCGATCGCATCGGATTCTGGGGCTCCGGCGACGGGGAGGCCTCTTCTCGTCTCTCCGGCCTCGACCACCTCAAGCACCCTGGCCTCAACAAGGTTTGTTTCTTTTTACTGTACCATAAATTCACTAATGTATTTTTTGGCTAGGTCATGGTTGTGCGGAAGTGTACCAAGTTTTGTAATCTTCCCGACCCAGTTTTTGACCGTGATAAGGTGTACGGTCATTGTCACTTTTTTTTAGGTATCACGTGCAATACTGCATTTAGCTACGCGTGTTTTTGAACTTAACCCCGCGTCAAAGTTCGCGCGGTTCCGATTCCGGTGTCAACAAACTTTACGTCGTTTGTTACGAACTAATTACCATAATAAGGTATTATTTACGTGCTTGCATTTCACGTTTAATTGCCATCTGAATAGAATGTAGCTTACGAGTATATGTATTACCACAATTCCTAAGTTCCTGATAATTGCAAATTGTGAAAATCACACCAATCTATCAATTGAAATGCTTAATACTGAAAAAACTTTACGATGGGATACATGCACGCATTTCAAAGAAATAATTATAGTTCTTTCCATTAATAATTAGAAGTATTTATTGAGGATACTCATGATTTTATTCGTTTGTGTACTTAATGAACAATTCACATAATATTAATTCCGTACACTTGCATAACATTACGATGTCTTTGTAGTTAGTAATAACAAGGGTTCTACACAAATAAAAGGTATATGTGCTTGTATGCAAACCATTGTGGAGGCTGTGAGGTTATAAGTAACGATATAACGCCTGGATATAAAACCTTTTAGCTTTTGAAATATCGTTCTGGGTCATTCATTGTTCCTTCTTAGTGGATGTTCGTGAAACTCTACATACAATTTAATCACTTTAACATACCGCATCCCATTGATTTTTGAAAACAATGGAAATTATATTAATTTATGATTTAATATGCTTTATATGTGGTACTAAATTCAAACTAAATCTATGAAGATTTTTTAATTATATTTACAGTACTACGTAAATAAGAAAAAATAGCACGCATTTTTATTGAGTAACAATGAAAAGAAAGTTTACTACCATCGAGTTTTTCCCTCTGTTATATGTATTACTTTACCGAAATCAGAAATCAGAAACATTTATTGTGTGAATTGGTAAAGTAACGGTTTTACTACACTTTACCACATTACATTCACAATTCTTACCCAAGTCAGGCGTACAATATGTCTTAAAATTACAGTTCGATTAAAATTTATTACAATTTAAATGTAAACAAATTAAAATTGTCAAATATTTGATGTCTTTATATAAAATTCGTTAAGATTGTAAAAAAATTATGTCAATTAACCATTTTTTTTAAATAACCGTTAAATTTATCACCATTTAAACATTTTATTTCAATTGGAAGTCTGTTATAAATTGTGACCGTTGTAATATAAGTACCGTGGTCAAAGATCGTGCTAATTATTCTAGGGGGGAACAAGACGGTCCTTGTTTCTGATGTTAACGGAGTGTACATCAAATATTTTAGTAAAGAAGTTACTGTGATTACGTACAAAAGACATATTTCCAAAATATATATTCCTGTAAAGTCAGTTTCCTCGTACAGACTTCTTAAAGAGTAATGACTCTCCTTTAGAGACAAGAAAAGTAGAGCATTATTATTATTCTTACTGTGAATGCACGAATATGTGATTGGTATGTGAATAAATATCCATCGTATCAATGACGACGTGTTGTCTGGGGGATCTACCGCAGCTTTGTCAGGTTTTATGGCTTCACGAGCGTATGGTAAATATAATAATAGGGGTTAAAGTATGAAATTGCCGATTTGTACTGAAAATCTAAATTGTTTATTTTTTAAATTTTTAACAAATTTATTTAATCAAAATAGTTGCCATTATTATCTATACATTGCTGCCATCTAATGGGAAGGTTATTAATGCCTTTGCGATAGAACTCCGACGATCTAGACTGCACAAACTGTGTGAAAGCATTTTGTACTGCCTCCTGGGAAGAAAACTTCTTGTCACGTAGATAATTGTCCAAATCACGAAAAAAATGGTAGTCCGTTGGAGCAAGGTCTGGTGAATACGGAGGATGACGAATGGTTTCTAACTGCAGTTCCTGAAGGGTCAAAATGGTTTCTCGTGCTGTGTGAGGTTTCGCGTTGTCGTGGAGCAATAATGGTGAAGATCGATTCATGAGTCGGGGCTGTTTTACTGCTAGTTTTGTCAACATGGTTCGGAGTTCGGCACAATAGACATCTGCCGTTATTGCTTGACCACATCGGAGAAAACTATAGTGAATAACACCATGCTGAGACCACCAAACAGTTACCATTACCTTTTTATTGGTAAGTTTTGCTTTAGGACAGTGTTGTGGCATTTGACCTGGGGTCAGCCATTGCATTTTTCTTTTCCGGTTATCATAAAGAATCCACTTTTCATCACATGTTACAATTCGATCCAATATTCCTTCATTTCTGTACCGGTTCAACAAGGCAACACAAGTTTCAACACGCGTTTCTTTCTGCAGATCAGTCAAATCATGAGGCACCCATTTTTCGTATTTTTTTATTTTATTGATTTGACGCAAGTGAGTCAATATTGTGGGTAAGGTAACGTTAAACCATGCCGCTAATTCCTGGGTAGTTTGATTAGGACCGGCTTCCACTATCTCTCTTAATTCATTGTTATTCACCTGTGTGGGCGGTCTTCCTCGTGGCTCGTTCTTTAAGTCGAAATTTCCATCACGAAAGCGTTTAAACCAAAATCGCACGGTGCGTTCATTAGTAGACCCCTCTCCAAACGCAGCAATTGATATTGCGGGCTGTTCCTGCCGCGTTAGTTCCGCGTCGGAACTCGTATTCAAAAATCACTCGAATTTTCGCAGTATCCATCTTTCTTGTCTAAATTGAATAACAAAAACAATTGAAAGTCGATATTCAAATGTTTCAAATAAAAAAAAAAATCACAGAAACCATTTGAAAAAAGTTTCATTCGAAAACCTCAAGCCATGAAGATTCTATGAAAATTCAAAGAACCTATTGCAATAAAACGGCAATTTCATACTTTAACCCCTAACATTAGAAGGAATCACGATCGGCGTGACCAAATATTGATCAGCTGTGACGTTCCACGTAGTGCCATCGTTTGTACCGCTTGCTCGTCAGTGTGTAATTTGGTGATGTGTATAACGTCGGTCTTTACCGCTATTACGCAACGGATAAACCCTAGTAGGTCAGTTGGTGGTCAGAGTATTCAGATCTACGTGGCATTAGCGGTATATTGCACACATAGATTAGTTAATATAAATAAAAACATTTACTAAAGACAGTTTTAGTAGTAGTAGAGCTCCTTGTGAAAGAGTTCGTCCAAGCAAGTATGTGAGCATTACTGTGTTTCGGTTTTGGTAAGGGTGGTGGAAAAATTACAGGCGCATTATGGGACTTGTCAAGGTTATGTCTCAGGGTGACAGGCGCAGTGGCAGTGTCCCTCAGATCTTTGCGATTTAAAGTGGCACTGCACATGCTATGGACGGATGTGTCGCTTCCAAACCATTCCTAGTATTCGTAAATCCAAACCATTCCTAGTATTCAAAGTTTTGTCGATTTTGCACCGAATAAAAACCAATTAATTTACCCAGTATCATTACTAAACGAAAAATTAAATTCAGTTTTCGTGTAAAAGTGATTCGTTTTCATTTTGTCGTGGACGCTCAGAAACGTTGAAAGGCGGTTATAAGTTTGACAGGCAGATCGCGAGATTGTAATTTAAATGTAAATTGGTCTTATTCAACGTTGTCGTCGTCGTGAAAATGAAAATGTTGGAGCCAAAAAGATTAAGTAATTTTTTTGTTTCAACAGCTATGAATATGTGTCATTAAAGGCTGCGCTTTTCATTTGCTTACACCAATATTAATAAGGGTTAGGATAAGAATAGAATTATTATATATTATAAGAATAGAGTAGAATGCTTGCGTGAACGGAATGAGTGCGTGACCTGTGACGATGATTTCACGCTCTTTGGACGTTGAATCTCCTTGAAGTTCCCGAAAATCAAATTGAAGATTAATAAAATTACATATATATAACCTTTAAATATTGTATTTTATAGAATTCTGTAATTGCTTTTAGCTTGAATATGAGCGTGATAAAATTTCAAATATACGTAATTTGTATCATGTGCCTGTTCATATTATTTTTATGACTTTCATGTGATAAAAGCATTTCTGATGACGATAATATACGGCTTTATTCATACCATGAGTACGATATACCTACATTTCTTATGAACTTTAATGGCTGTTGTAATAATGGCTCGTACGTTAGTGTACGTGATTAAATCTTGTTCTCAAACGCCCGAAGGTGTGTCTTTTGCGTCATCGATCAAAGGTTAAGTTCGATCGCTTGTAATTATCATGATTGTTAGAAATTGTTACTATAAATATTCAAATATATGTAATTCACACAGCCGAAATGAATAATTTTAGAGAAAGAATTGAGTCGGTTTGCGTAGACGGGTATGTTAAAACGTGATTATTATATAAGGACTTATGTAATTTTTTTCTGAAAATTTACCTAACGGTGATAAATAAACAATATT